GCTGAGCCCGCACCGTGGTGTGCTAAATCTTTTTAACGTGAGAGAACTGAAAACAGAGCCAGCGGCCTTAATAAACACTAGAAAGTGTTTTTAATGGATGTATTATTATCTTCAGCTGTTAAGCCATTCTGTCAAAAATACCCAGCAACATTGACAAACAAGATCATCTAGAAGAAAGGCCTACAGTGAGGTTTTAGAAGCACAAACCATTTAGCAAAAATAAAAAAGAATTCTTAAATGGGTATTTTGAGAGATACTGGGGGAAATACCTAGTTCAATTTTTTTCTCAGCATTTGAAGAAGTTAATCTCAATAAAACAATTTGGACAGTAGGCTAATTTTTAGAATCTCAAGAGATGTTTTGATTGGAGCTAGTACTGCCATTATAAATAAGAATGAAAACTTGATGAAGGGGAATTCCTTAGTTAAACATTTGGTGGAGACGGTAAATACCTGGATTGCCTTTTATCTCAGGATGCCCAAGCATTGGCACTTTGTTTTCCTTCATTGACCTGTGATAGTAAAAGCAACACCCCTGCTCGGTTTCTCTGATGCTAGGGATGCTGTGAAAATGTCAGTGTTATCTTTATCTTCTCTTTTCTGCTTTGAACCAGACTAGACTGGCATGTTAACAAATACATTCAGACACACACATACCAAAAAAAAATCTGAAATCCTTTGCAAATGTTATGATAACATTTTGGAGTTTATTCTTGCAAATCTTGAAGGACATTAGAATTTAATTTGATCTCTTCTGCAACCTCAACTGATGGAACTTAAAGTTGGAGGCAAACTGGCTATCAGTGTGTGAGGAATGTACTGGGGACTTTTTGATGCTGAAGGAGTCTGGGTGTCATTATTCTTGTTGTTTGATGCTGTCCTGTGCAGTGGGTCAGCACTAAGCTCCTTGTGCTCTTCACAGGTGCTGTACCAGGTGGAAGGATTTGTTGACAAGAACAATGACCTCCTGTACCGAGACCTGTCCCAAGCCATGTGGAAGGCCGGCCATGCCCTCATCAAATCTCTGTTCCCTGAAGGGAACCCTGTGAAAGTCAACCTGAAAAGACCTCCTACAGCAGGGTCACAGTTCAAGGCATCCGTGGCCACTTTGATGAAAAACCTGCAGACCAAGAATCCAAACTACATCAGGTACTTCCAGGACAGGAGTTCAGATCTAAGAGTAGTTAATCAATCTTATTTCCCTATTTGTTTAAATTTAAATGTAGCAGAGAATAGCAAATACAGTGATAATCAAATAACAGTGGTGTTTGGTTGTCCTAAAAATACACAGCTGTATTTCTTTCCTAAAAATAGAGGGGGCAGGGGAGCTAAAGGAAGAAAATGTGGCATGGCATGTCAGGAGACAGGAAACGGGAGGTTGGCATGTAGACGTTCCCAACTTCCTGTTTTTATGGCTTTTTTTTGTTTTTTTTTTTTTTTTAATGACAAATTACAAGAACAAATGGTAAGATGTTTTCCTGGGGCTTTGCATGAAGCTCCGTCCTTGGCATGTGTTTGGATTCCAGTGATGTCAGAGCAGAGCAGCAAAGCAAGAGGCTTGGTGGTCACTCTGGTGTCCCTGAGGACCCAGGCCTTATACTTTCTTGGGAGAAATCATTCCTAAAACAACCCGAATGTCTTCAAGACAATAGAAAGACTCCCCCCCTCCCAATCCTCTAGTGTCATGGTTTTGTTTGTTTGCTTGCTTTCCAGCTTCTGGGTCATCTTAGATGTGACTTGCTCTGGATTTGGGAAGGTCCCAGTAGGGTTAGAATTTGCCGAGTGTGCTTATTCACGAAGCAGTAGATAAGCAGTAGAAGGTGTGCTGATGACAGATCGGATGTTGGCACACACCTTGCCCTTGGAATTTCAGTTAGAAAGAAACCAAAGTGAAGGACCCTTTTTTTTTTTTTTTTTTTTTTTTTTTTTTTTGTATGTTTGGTTTGTTTACTTGACATTTATATTAGTAGAAACAGAAATAGGCAAATTATCCTGCCTTGATTTACCCAAGTTAGAACATGTATTGGGGGAAAATCTCATTTCTAGAAAATAGCCAGGAATCTTTGATCATTTGTTTTTGCTATTAAGTTTTCTTGAGGTGCCGTTTACATGAAGCCGATACACACAGATTTGAGGTGTGAACAATTCAATTACTTTATAATCATGACGTTTTCCTTGGCACCATCACCTTAGGGAAGTTTTGTTCTCTAGTTTTTGTGTGTTCTGTAAGAAATTGGAATAGGCCCCAAGGCTGTGAGGCAGTCCTCATGCCCTCTGCTGGGTTCTTGGCTACCTCCAATTTCAACATAAGGCCAAACCTCTTTCCATTCATTGTCCCTGGTCCTTTATCAATCACCAACTGAATATATTGATTCTGAACTTAAGGCCTTCCTATTGATTCATCTATTGCCTTTGTTTAGTGCATAGAGTAGACATTACATGGTAAAAGGAAAAGTATACCAACATCATGACAAACCCAGATGAGATTGAATTGTCTGAAGTCCCCCCCCCCCCGTGGGGGTGTGGTGGGGTGTGGTGGTGGTGTGGTGGGGGGTGGTGTGTGGGGGGTGGGGGGTCACTTAACAGTTGTACAGCCATACCCATGGATGTTTAACAGTTGTGTTTGTCAGCACAGGGATGGCTACTGTGTGAACCAAAACTGATAATGTTCTACAAGTCTGGCATTTATTTCTTTGTAAGAACTTTTTAGTGTAGTAGAGCTAATAGGGAAATTCTTTCTGTTTTGTGGCTCTGCCATTTCCAATGTGTGTCCTTCATCTTTGTGGTCAAAGAGGGCTGCTCACTGTGTTGACACCCACAGTCAGCATTGAACTGACAAAGACCTGTTTCATGGACACAGGAACACATTAGTTCTGCTTTGATACTAAAATTTGGTCATTTGACTACACCTGCCTACTAGTAGAGGAGTCTGGGAAAGTTGTCCTTCCTAAGCAACAGAGAGCTTTGTTACAAAGAAACATGGGCCAAGGAGGCAGAACTCTGTTTTATCTTCTTATGGCCTTATCACCATTCATAACGAAGGCATGAGTCCTAATTGTACAGCTTTATTGGATTTTTCCATATATATATATTAGTTACCCCATTCAAATCAAAATATAAAAGATATTGAGGCTGAGGAGATGGCTTAGTTGCTAAAGCAAACATGAAGACCTGACTTTAAATTCCTCAGAACCCACATAAAGAAGCTGGTCATAGCAGGACCTGCCTATAATTTAGTGCTGGGGAGGCAAGTTAGGGGATGCCTGGAGTCATTGGCCTGCTGCTCCAGATGAATGGGTGAGCTCAGGGTCAGAAAGTGTACACACAAATGCAGGTTGGAAATGTGTGCATACATAGACACAGGAAGTGTGTACACACACATACATAGACATATCTCTCATCCTGATGCCTGTCACCTGTGTGGACCCTGCCTCCTTCCCCCCACCCCCCACTGCCATCTCTCAGAGGAAACGGCAATACAGACTCAGACTGGTTTTACACAAACATCTCATATAATTGTAGTTGTGCAGTGTGCACCATTTTCAAACTTCTTTCACTCAAAAAATGTCATTGATGTTCATCAGTGCTATTGATTCTTAATCATTTTTAAAATTGCAATGTATGCAATATTACATTTATTTTTAGTTTATTGTGAAATGGTTTGAAATAATTAGAAATTGTTTGGTTTTCCAAGAATAGCAAATAATTACTGTGAAATGGTTAGACACGAAACACCGGTTACGATCCACAGAGGCAGAGTTGAAAAGCTAAAATCCTTGACATGTTTTAGGTGCATCAAGCCGAATGACAAAAAGGCTGCACACATTTTCAATGAGAGTCTGGTATGCCATCAGATCAGGTACCTGGGTCTTCTGGAGAATGTCCGCGTGAGGCGTGCAGGCTACGCCTTCCGCCAGGCCTATGAACCTTGCCTGGAAAGATACAAGATGCTTTGCAAACAGACATGGCCTCACTGGAAAGGGCCAGCAAGGTAAGCAACTCTGGCTGTGCCATCATCAGCTTTTAAATTATCCAAGCAGCACTGTGTTCTTGGTTTGGTTTGAGTTTTCCCCTGTATGTAAAGCTGGCTGTGCCATCTTCCACTAGGATACCATTGTAGATAATCTTCAACTTACTGTAGAGGTGTCAATTTTCTTTGACATTGAAATGGAACATATGAAATCCATATTTGGAACTTGCATGCCTATAAATGTTTCAAACATACACATGGTGAATTCATAGGCACTTGGTAGTTGACACATGAACTTGTGTGCCAGAGAACAGCTGTTACAGGAGAGAAATCAGGCCTGGCCTGTGAGAACCTCCACTCTCACCAATCAGGATTGTCATGGTGTCTGTAGCAGTCTGAATACTGCGGTATGGGGGGAGGGGGGCACAAGCCTGCTCATGGGCGAGATGGGCACTTGTGCCAAGGTTGTATGCACATTATCAGTTGAACCCAGCCTTTTACAGGAAATTGAGTAGTAATTAGAAAGCATCCTGAGTTATAGAAGAGACAGAAATCACATATGCCGTAGTCTCTGGTGTCTAATGGGGACCATTAGACAGGGTATTGTTTCTACACACCATTAGTTTCTAGGCTACTGTGCTAAGCATGCCATAACACACAGTATTATTTATTCCCTGTCTGGCAGGCAGTCCTCAGGTTAGTGGAGCCAGGCTAGTTTTAGGAACTGATGTTGAAACTAATATCAAGGCCTTTGTTGGTCCACATGAGACCATGTTCTGTAGCATCTCATTGGCATGGCCCTTAGCTCTGTTTTGGGCTGTTCTTACCCCCTGTGGAATGAGAGTAGTGGTTAGGGCTGGAAAGATGAGCTCAGTGGTTTAAGAGCACTTGCTGCTTTTGCAGAGGACTTGGGTTTGGTTCTCAGCATCTAGCTGGCAGGTTGCAACATCTGAAGCTCACATTCCGGGGGACACTGCACCTTCTTCTGGCCTCCTCAGGACCAAGCTCATGGGGATGTGCAGACAAAACACCTGTACACAGAGTTCGTTGAGTAGGTTCAATACGTCTGAGGTTTTTGCTTTCAATCTTGGCCCCATTGACATTGACTATCTTTTTGTATTTACTAATGAAATCAAGAAGTTCCTACATTTCTTACAGCACATGGTTCTAAACCTAGATTTGCTTTAGTGGTGTTTATTAATCTGGGTTAAGTTTGTGCAAATCAATCTTGAAAATCCTTTGGGAGAAAGATGATTGCTTGAAGAGCGATCACCCTAAAGATGTAGCAGTGCTGGGCCTAGAGAGGTGGTTAAGCAGGAAAAGGAACTTGCTGCATGGCCCGACAACTTGAGTTTCATCTCTAGGGCCTACTCGGGGAAAGTAGACAATCACTTCCTGCCAGTTGTACACACACACACACACACACACACACACACGTAATGTAAATTTTTTTAATGTAGTTTTTTGTGTATTAATGAGAACCTGATATGATGTAGGGTAGAACTACTTTTGTAATTGTAGTTGGGATTTGTTCACTCTTTCAGGTCTGGTGTGGAGATTCTGTTTAATGAGCTAGAGATCCCTACAGAAGAATACTCCTTTGGTAGATCCAAGATATTCATCCGAAACCCAAGAACAGTATGTAACCTTTACACTCTCAACTAGAGTCCCATGCATGCAGGCTCATTCCATGGTACCACCATCAAGGCCATATTCGTTTGTTTGTGTGCAGTGTCCTAGAGCTGGGGCAAGTAAGGGATGGTGTATTATTTGTACAACACCAAAGCCATACGATCCATTGTAGAAAACATAAATGAATTCAAAACTATCAAACCTTGGCTCAGTCTCCCTGCCTGATTCATAGCGACTGAAAGGCAAGCCATCCATGTCTTCAGCATCTAAGTTACATTTGAGTGTTAGGAATTACAGCTTGATGGGTGTACATGAAACATGAAGGGAAAAATTTACCAAATACATGGGCCTTCTTAGAGTTCCACGGAGTCTTTGTACAAACAGATGGATGAAAAGTATGATTATTATCTCATGACTTAGTGAGATGGAAGGTTAGAGAGCTTGAGGGCACGTAGGTTGTTGAAGAGGCCACCAGCCCTGTGTTAGGAGTTGTGCATTCCCAGCTGAGCATCCTTTGCCTAAGGATCTGAACTTCAGGCTCTGGAGTTCTGAATATCATGTTGGTACACAGGACTTCAAAGCTGCTTGCATCCTGCAGTGTGGGGTGCAGGTTCCCTCTGGCTCATTTCAACCTTCTCTGAGTAACTGGATCCTTCATGAATCCATCAAAATATTTTCTTCATGCACCATCATTCAACTGGCTGACTTCAACATCTGGCGAAGTCCTTTCATGTCCGTCTATCATTTCTTATTAGTTATTCCAATTGGAAGACCTAAGGAAGCAGCGGCTAGAGGACCTGGCCACTCTCATTCAAAAAATTTATCGGGGATGGAAATGTCGTACCCATTTTCTGCTCATGAAAAAAAGCCAAGTTGTGATTGCTGCCTGGTGCAGGAGATACGCGGTGAGTCCTAAAACTACAGCCTGATGTAACCAGCTCACTTCTCACTATGACCGATGTAACCATGTCATCTTCTCATTATAACCTGATGTAACCATGTCAACTTCTCTTTACAACCTTACATAACCATGTCAACTTCTCATTCAAACACGACATAACCATGCCACCTTCTCACTACAACCCAATGTAATGATGCTAACTTCTCATTACATCCTGACGTAACCATGACAACTTCTCAACATTCTCTGTGTGCTCACTATATTTGCAACTTTTGCATAGCTAAATTTACCAACAACCTCGTGAGATGTGTGTTGTTGTTCTTTTTAGCTTGGGAAAACAAAGTACTGAGATTCTGGGAAACTGCCTATGGCTGTCTGTGTCAGAACATGGATCTGAGCCTAAGACAGTTCCAGAGCTTGAGTACTATTAATGTTCCTGGACTATTTTGCACTGATCTTGGGGAAGGATGTAGCAGGAAATTTATCTTTGATTTTGTCATTGGTTTGAGAAGATTGTGTCATTTGCTTTTCCTATGAGGGGGTCAGTTTTCTAAAATGTCTGTCTGGCTGCATATATTGTGGCAGCGTTGAAGAGAGATGGTTTTAATCCCAGGGCACTGAAACTCTGTTTTAGTGCAACTATGGTTTTGGTTAAAGAACTGGATCTTCTTTAGTCCTCAGATAGAAGGAGTCAATATTAAAGAATGTTTGCTTAGCTTATATGGAACTTCTTTTTAGAAATTTAGCACTTGGTTATAAATGCTTTGTTGGAGGCATACCAACAGGTTTGGAAGGGCCTGAAGACTTGCCTCTACCTTCACTTAAATTTAAGTTGTGTTCTTGAATTGTAGTGATAAGAAGAGCACAACTTGTGAATATTTTCATTCTGTGCAAAGTTTAAAAATGGATTAAATTTGCAATCAGGTCTCATTTAGTGCAGTCTTCCCTCTGCATCTAAAGAGACATTTTGCCACCAGATAAAATCTGTGTTGATGTACTTTCATGAAATGCATTTTAGCATCTTCACAAATTTGGGGAACCAGTAATGTTTTAAATGATAAAGCCTAAGATGCACTTGGTCTTTAAGTATGGTCTTTAATTGCTTGTTCTAATTAGGAAGATCATAGCCACCATACAAGTCTTTGAATGACACATTTGAATAGAGGATTTGTTCACCTTTCAGCTAAGATACAGTGGACTGTTGTCACTCTACCTAGTGGTTATGGATTCTCCTCTGAGCTCACCGCAGTGCTTCCTAATTCTACAGACTCATGATACTCTTTTCTGTTTCCCTGAGAAAGTGGGGGGGAAGGGGAAGGTATCAACAAACAGCCTATGGTTCGGATGTGTTTTTTAATCGTTTCTAATTTTGAGGTCATTAAGAAAATCCACCCTTGAGCAGATCCTTAATCAATCTGTCTTGAATTCTACAAAAAGCTTTAAAATACCTACTGTGCTCTGAGAGTAGCAAAGTGGACCCAGAAGCCTGGTTTCTGACTTAATAAAGTGCATGTTTAGCAAGGTAAATGGGTATCTATCTAGTTAGGGTTAGTATTGCTGTGGTGAAACACTGTGACCAAGGGAAATGGGTATCTATCTAGTTAGGGTTAGTATTGCTGTGTTGAAGCACTGTGACCAAGGGAAATGGGTATCTATCTAGTTAGTGTTAGTATTGCTGTGATGAAACACCATGACCAAACCAACTTGGGGAGGAAAAGGGTTATTTAGCATTCCACTCCCACCTTCCATGTTCATCATTGAAGGAAGTCAGGACCGGAATTCAAGCAGGGCAGGAACCTAGAGGCAGGAGCTGATGCAGAGGCCATGGAGGAGTGCTGCTTACTGGCTTTCTCTCCAAGGCTTACTCAGTTTTTTGGAGGGATATTTCAAGCCAAACTCTGTACTGTCAATCTCCTTCCATTACCTTTGATGTCCAGGTGGAGCCCAGGCTCTCAGATGTCACCAGAGAACTGGAATCAGCAGTCTCATGCTTCACAAGGAAAGGTTAATAACCCTATTTTAGTGTTCCAGGTGGAGCCCAGGCTCTCAGATGTCACCAGAGAACTGGAGTCAGCAGTCTCATGCTTCACAAGGAAAGGTTAATAACCCTATTTTAGTGTTTTTGAAATGCTTTGCGTTTTCATCAGAGATGCCGGTGTCCCAACATCCATTCCAAACCCAAAAGTGTAAGGGCTCACTTTTCTTGGGAGACTGTTCTAGCAGCTTCGCTGTCTTAAGGAATCAACTCTACAGCAAGGTCTCTGGACAGGGTGCTTGTTGAGCTTAAATGTAGCTGTGCACTTTTCACAGCGTTGACCTTTGTCATAGTCTACCCTCATGGGTGAGGATGGAGACAGACTCACACATTGTCAGGGTTCTGTTTACACTTTGTTTCAGTTGATACTGGGCTTACTGAAAATTACCCTGACTTCCCAACTTGAGGCAGAGTTAGAATAGTAAATCTAGAAGTAACCAGAAGGCTATAGGCAAGCTGGCCCACTATATTGCATGAAGAATGATACCAAGAAGAGAATCCTCTCAAAAAGTAGGTGCAAAGCAGTATGGGTCCACTCAGAATGTGCTGTTGACAGTGGACACCATGCTGCCCAGCACGGTGCAGAGAACAGGTGTTGGTAACAGTGGCTACACCAGTTACAAGTTACTGTGTTTGGTATCCTTCAAGTGGATTGCAGGTTTGCTGTAATAACTTTGGACTGTCTAACCTTTCAGTTTCTCGGGTCCACTCAGAATGTGCTGTTGACAGTGGACAGCATGGAGGCCATGCTGCCCAGCACGGTGCAGAGAACAGGTGTTGGTAACAGTGGCTACACCAGTTACAAGTTACTGTGTTTGGTATCCTTCAAGTGGATTGCAGGTTTGCTGTAATAACTTTGGACTGTCTAACCTTTCAGTTTCTCTATGTGTTGGTTTCCAGGAGTGTGGATGCTGCTCCTAGTGAACAGTCACCCTTTCTTTGGCCTTCAAGCTCTACCTTTTAGCTATGCAGACATGACTGTTTACTTCTTCACTTTTATCCTGCAGCAACAGAAGCGGTACCAGCAGATAAAGAGCTCAACCCTGGTAGTTCAGTCTTACATCCGGGGCTGGAAGGTGAGTTTAAGTACAGGCTTTATGTATGTGGGAACTTGGGTTTCTTCATAAAGGGAGCTGTCTTCAGGCTTCTTTATCTCCTGCACCTGTGCTGTAAACAGCAACGTGGAAAGAGTAAATATTATGGAGCCAAGCAGGGAACCCTGGTGACCATGTCTTGGCAGCTTCCTTTTAATCGCTTTATGTTATTTTTAAAGCTTTGTTGTCTAAGTAGGAAGTCCCTGAAATAATCCTGTATATAATTCCAGTATCCTTGTACCAAGAAGCCATTTCTAGAAAGCTGCCGGTCAACCACTGCTTGAGTCCTGTGGTCTCAGTCCCACATCCATGACTTTCCAGTGATCCCCTGCAGCCACTGCACAATGACTGAAGGCTGCTGGCTCTGTCTAGGGCTGTGGCAAGGAAAGTGGGTAGTCACAGTGGCTGCTCTTGTTCCAGATCCTTCCAGCTAAGGCTTGGTTCAAGGGTTAGTGAACTTTGGGCCCCAGGCAAACTTCAGCCTGTGTTCTGGTTCGTACAACCTGCAAGCCAAAATTGGTTTGTATAGTCTGAACCATTGTAAACAAAACAAAACAAAACAAAACAAAACAGAAGAGTTCCAAGTGTGTGAAAATAACCTGAAAGTGAATTTGGATATCCATACTTGAAGTTGTAGCCAGGTTTACCTATTTTAGACTCTAGGGCCATAGTCTGGTAGCTGTGGTGTATTGTGTGACTTTCAACACCACAATATTTACCATCTTATTCTTTTTAAAAAATAATAGTTTTGTTAATTCTTTAAGAATTTCATACAATGTATTTTGATGATATTTGCCCCCCTAATTCCTTGATGATCCACCACACACACACACACACACACACACACACACACACACACACAATCTTCTCCTTTTGCTGCTGTTTTCAAAGCCTTACCATCTTGCTCTTCATAGAAAAAAGTTTACTAACCCAGGCTCTCCAGTCCTACTGTAGGCCTCTTCTGACTGCTTTCATATTAGATGTGTCATGGGATGTTCTGGATCCGGAAGGGATACTTTGAGGTTGTGTTCAGGCCCACAGCTTCTCCAGAGGCTACATACAGCCTGGGCTATAAATCTAGCTCCCTTGATTGGTAGGCCTTGGTGTAGACCTTGTTCAGATTAAGGGCTTGCCCAAGTTAATGTGGCCTGCCACATGTAGACGCTCCCTGACCATTTTTCTAGGCCCTGGGACCAGTCTATGGGCTAGAGAACCCAATGGCAGGACTGAAAGCTTTCTCCCAAGCCAGGAGCCCTCCTGACTTGAGCAGTTACTGGAAAGAAGTCACTCACTGGTTTGGATAAAAATCTATCGATTTGAAAGGATAGCTACAGTTACTTCCCAACAGAGTGAATAAAGAGATGGAATGGACTTTGGAGGAACATGGGAGAACTCTGGCAATGATCTAAGACTGGGTCTCTACCTCTCTGTGTACAGCCTGTGTTGCTGTGGCCGTTATTTCCCT